AAATATTCATAAAAGTTTTGAATTGAAAATAGCGCACAAACAACAATTTCGAATTATTATTGCGGCTTTGTTGTTGTATTCTGGCAAAATTTATTTGTTTATATGAATTTTATGACCCCCACAGCTGGTTAATAATAGGGGGTGGGGGGGTAGGTTATGGGGAGACTCTTCGGTAAAATATTTGTTTAGAAACATTTTTTAAGGTACTTCGAACTCTGCAAGGTTTTGCGGAGACACAGACGTCACTAGACCCATGGGAGTGGTGGGTGATTGAGATAGGGTCTATAAAATAGAAATGTTATTTGGATAAAAGGATGCAAAGTTCAGAATCAAAGGGGCAGATACCAGAAGAAGTCAAACGATAAATTCCATATCCACATCAGATTTCCGGTTAAGAGAAATATTTCGAAAGAAAAGAAATATTGAAAAGAATCGCTGACTTCTTTTGCAAGTTTTGAGAGATATGGGTATTGGAAATTGCCACTTTTTGCGGGAGAGGGGCTAGAAGGGGCGTACCGATTTGTTCCTACCTCACACCAGATCTTATGTTGATAGCAATATTCGAATGTGTGGAATTTGGAGAGAATCTGATGCTTATTTCCCATTCTATCATCGTTTTTGGTTATTCAAAATTTCGACCCCTTTACGGGGGCGGTTCCAGAAGTGTTCCAGAAGGAGTTTTAACCCTTTGTGGGCGAGGTACCAAAAGGAGTGGGCCGATATATACCATGTTCTGGTTAAAATATTTCGATATGTAAAATTCTAAGAGAATCGGATGCTTACTTACGCCCTATGAGCGTTTTTGGTTTTTCAAAATTGAGACCCTTTGTGGGGGAGGTACCAGTAGCAATGGACCGACATATCTCATCTTTATACCACATCTTGTGTTGGTTGAAATATTGAAATGTGTGAATTTTAGGACGAATCGAATGCTTATTTCTCGTTTTATGAGCGTTTCTGGTTATTCAAAATTTTGACCCCTTTGTGGAGGAGGTACCAGAACGAGTGGACCGATGTACCCTGTCTTCACCCCAAATCTTATATTGGTTGAAAAATTGGAATGTTTCAAATTTGGAAAGAATCGGATGCTTATTTCCCGTTTTATGACCATTTTTGGTCACTCAAAATGTTGACCCCTCTGCGGGGGAGTTACCAGAAGGAGTGGACCGATGCACCCCATCTTCACTACAGATCTTGTGTTGTTTGAAATATTGAAATGTGTGAAGTTTAGAAAGAATCGAATGCTTATATCCCGTTTTATGAACCTTTTAGCTATTAAAAATGTTAACCCCTTGTGTGGGAGGTACCAGAACGAGTGGACCGATATCTGCCATCTTCACACCATTTCTTATTTTGGTCGAAATATTGAGATGTACAAAATTATAAAAGAATCGTATACTTATTTCGCTTATTATGAACGTTATTATTTATTCAAAAATTTAACCCCTTTGTGGGGAAGGTACTTGAAGGGGTGGGCCCACATATCCCATTTTCACATCAGATCTTGTGTTGGCTGAAATAGAGGGGTGTGTGAAGTTTGAAAATAATCGGATGCTTACTTCCCGTTTTATGGGCCTTTTGGTTATTCAAAATTTTAACCCGTTTGTGGGGGAGGTACCAGTAGGAGTGGGCCGATATCGCCCATCTTCATACCAAATCTTCGGTTAGAAAAAATATTGAAATGTGTGAGATTTGAAAAAAATCCGATGATTTTATGAGCTTTTTGGTTATTCAAAAATTTAACTCCTTTTGTGGGGGAGGTACCAGAAGGTGTGGGCCGATATCTGCCATCTTTATATCAAATGTTGTGTTGGTTTAAATATGGGTATTTGTAGAATTTAAAGAGATAACGAGGCTCATTTCAAAATTTATACGAATTTTCGTTTTTATACCCTCCACCAAACATATCGTATGGAGGGTATATTAAGTTCGTCATTCCGTTTGTAAATCATCGAAATAATAATTTTAGATCCAACAAAGTATATATATTCCTGATCAGCGTAAAATTCCTAGACGATTAAGCCCTATCCGTACGTCCGTCAGTTCATCTGTTGTAATCACGCTAGAGTCAAAACGAATAAAGTTAGGAAGCTAACATTTTGCACAGATCTGTCTTTTGTCTGCAGGAAGATCAAGTTTTCGCAAAATTCTTCACCGGAAATTGTTTCAAATTTGGTATTTAAAGTTCGTAATGGATACTACATCCTATGACAGAAAATTGTCTGCGCAGGTCCCATACAAAAGTACCTCCCTTTATTCGGTATTTTGATGATATTAAAGACATTATTTAGCGGAATTATTTCAAATTTTGTATTTGAAGTTTGGAAACGGTACTACAGCCTATGACAGAAAATTACTTATCCAGCACCGGGTCTTCGTATAGCCCCCACATAAAGGTTTTTATTTAAACGGTATTTTTCGACGGAATTTTTATTTAAATTTTCCAAATTTCTTTCCGAGGCCGAACTTAGCCGTTTTTTTTTACTAGCTTTTTATTTTTAATTTAATTTTTTTTTAATTTTTATTAAAATTTTTAAAGTTCCTTCCGAATGGTGGAGGGTATAAAGAGGCCGAACTTAGCTGTTTTTTTTACTAGTTTTTTATTTTTAATTTTATGTAAGTTCGAAATTACAGAATTTTGTTAATAATATGAATTTCTGTTGAAAATAAAAATTTCCCTAAAAATTTCCCAAAAGGATTTTTTTTATTTTTCGTCTCTAATTAGTTTTGTTTTCACTGTGGACCTCAAAGAAATGAGAATTTTACAAAAAATCCCAAAAACAAAAATTTTCCTTTAGTAGGAAATTTCAATAAAATGTCCAAATTTTAGAATATTATTCAAAATTTGCTATATTTAGGTGAATTTGGGTATATTGTGATGAGAAATATGAATTTCTGTGGAAAATAAAAATGTCTCTAAAAATTTCCCAAAAGGGAAATTTTTATTTTTTATCTCCTATTAGTTTAGTATTCACTGGAGACCTCAAATAAACTGGAATTTTACATAAATTCCCAAAAACAAAAAATTCCCTTTGATGGGAAAATTCTGTTGAAAATAAAAATTTCCCTAAAAATTTCCCAAAAGGGATATTTTTATTTTTCGTCTCTAATTAGTTTAGTTGTCACTGTAGACCTCAAATAAATGAGAATTTTACGAAGATTCCCAAAAACAAAAATTTCCCTTTAGTGGGAAATTTTAATAAAAGTTCCAAATTTTAGAATTTTGTTAATAATTTGCTATATTTAGGTGAATTTGGGTATATTGTGATGAGAAATATGAATTTCTGTTGTAAATAAAAATTTCCCTAAAAATTTCCCAAAAGGGAAATTTTTATTTTTTATCTCTAATTAGTTTAGTTGTTACTGTAGACCTCAAATAAACTGGAATTTCACATAAATTCCCAAAAACAAAAAAATTCCCTTTAATGGGAAATTTCTATATAAGGTTTAAATTTCAGAATTTTTTTCCTAATTAGCTATATTCTGAGGAAATACAATTTTTCCCAAAAGGGAAATTTTTATCTCTTGCCTCCAATTAGTTTTGTTTCCACTGGAGACCTGAAATAAACGAGAATTTTACAAAAATTCCCAAAAACAAAAATTTCCCTTTTATGGGAAATTTCTATATAGGGTCAAAATTTTAGAATTTTGTTCATAATTTGCTAAATTTAAGCGTATTTGGATGTATTGTGATGAGAAATATGAATTTATGTTGCAAATAAAAATTTCCCTAAAAATTTCCCAAAAGGGAAATTTTTATTTTTTATCTCCAATTATTTTAGTTTTCACTGGCGACCTCAAATAAACTGGAATTTTACATAAATTCGCAAAAACAAAAAAATTCCCTTTTAATGGGATATTTTAATACAAGGTCGAAATTTCGGAATTTGTTAATATTTTGATACATTTTTAAGATACACATTTATTTGTACAAAAACATAAAAAAAATTTGACTCCAAATGTGACATCCAAATTTTAAAAAATCAAACACTTCTCACTAGCAAAAAAATTCCCCCCAAGGGAGAAAGATGTACAAAATAGGATTTTTTTATTTATTTAATTTTTTATTTATTTATTTTTTTTTTTTTTTTTGCTCAACATTTTTTATTTGAAAAAAATTCCCCAAAAATTTCCCAAAAGGGAAATTTTTTATTTTTTGTCTCCAATTAGTCCAGTATTCACTGGAGACCTAAAATAAAGTGGAAATTCCCAAAAACAAAAAAATTCCCTTTAATGGAAAATTTTAATACAACGTCGAAATTTCGGAATTTGTTGATATTTTGATATATTTTCAAGATTTACATTTATTTGTACAAAAACATAAAAATTTTTGACTTCAAATTTGAAACACAAATTTTAAAAAATCAAACACTCCTCGCTAGCAAAAAACTTCCCCCAAGGGAATAAGATGTACAAAATAGGAAATATTTTTTATTTATTTTATTTTATTTCTTTTTTTTTTCAAAATTTTTTATTTGAAAAGAATTTTTTGAATTTTGTTTGTATTAAAGATGAAATATTTCCCTCCAAAAAAAATCCAAAACGGGAATGTGTTATTTGGATTAAAAATATTACATTTCAGTGTATTCTCATGTATTAGATGACATATATAGTTAAATCTAACCCAATAATAATTTTCCACACATTTAAGTTTTAAGATTTCCTCATAAAGACACAAGAAAAACCTGCAACATTTCTAAGACAAACATTTTCAATTTTTTTTCTTTTCTTTTTTATTTTATTTTTATTTTATTTTTTTATTTTTTTTTATTTATTTATTTATTTTTTTTTTTTTGAAGGAAATCAATTTTTCTTATAAAATTCTTTAATTTAAATTTTTCGTTTTTTTACGAAATTTTTCAAAAAGTCCAAGGAAAATCCCTGGACATAATTTTCCCCCACCCATGTCAACCCGAATTCCCTATCAGATCCTTATTAAAATTAAAAAAAAAAATAATAAACAAAAAATCAATTAAAAAAAAAAAACAATTGTAACCCACCTGTTGCCAGCTGTGGTTGCTGCTGCTTCCAATTGAATCATAATCCCGCGCTGATAATTTTGCACGCTCCTCATTTATTTGTGGAATGAAAAATCACACACAAGTCGATGTGGACAAATAAATCATCCAAAAAATTGTTTTGTTTTTTTTTTTTTTTTTGCTGGTATTTTGTTGTCTCTTGTCTTGTGTTTTTTTATAATTTGATTAATTGCTCAATTAAAATAGTATTTTTTTTTTTTTTGGTACTCTTCGTTGTTTTTGTAAATTATTTTTTGTTGTCTTCAACACCTTGAGAATACAACAAAATTTAATTGTACTTTCTTCATTTGTTATTAATTTTTGGTCGTTTCGTTTCGATTTTTTTTTTGGCTTCACACGAACTTTAGTCTCTGATAACAGGCTAATCGTTTATTATTTTTACTCTTTTCAACACACATTTAGGCTTTTCTTTCTCTTTCGCTCTCTCTCTCTCTCTTCGCCTTGTTGGTTAAATTAAGCAATGAATTATAAACGTCAGAGATAATAATTAATGATGACGTCCACTGTCACAGAACAAATTAAAAAAAAAAAATTGAAGTAATGAAAATATTTTGAATATTTTTTGAGAACAATATTAAATTGAGTTGAGAATTAGTGAAATTGAGTGAGAAAAAATTCATGGGAGAGAAGAGGAGAAGTTTCCTTAGTAGGGTACATTTACTTAGCACAACAAATAAATTCTATGAGAGAAAATTCATGAGAGAGAGGAAGAGGGATTTCTTCACTAGAGAGCATTTACTGAGCATTGGAGGAGGAATAAGAAATAAATTCTTAGACTGGAGAGAGCATTTATTGACCTTAAAAGGCCTTTAGATGCTACTGTTTCCAAATAAGAGTTAATCGAAGACCACTTTATAGGCACCAGAAGATATTTATGCTTACATACGGAGCTATTGTGAATGGAAGGTCTTCAAAAAAAAAAAAAAAAACTCCAATCTAAAGAGAGCATTTTTAAGGACTCTTCCAAAAAGTAAAATTCAATCAGAAGATATATTGGCCTATGAGAGAAAATTCATGGAAAAGAGGAAGAGGGGTTTCTTCACTAGAGAGCATTTACTGAGCATTGGGGGAGGAATAAAAAATGAATTCTTGGACTGGGATCGTTACTAGAGAGCATTTATTGACCTTAAAAGGCCTTTAGATGCTACTGTTTCCAAATAAGAGTTAATCGAAGACCACTTTATAGGCACCAGAAGATATTTATGCTTACATATGGGGCTATTGTGAATGGAAGGTCTTCAAAAAAAAACTCCAATCTAAAGAGAGCATTTTTAAGGACTCTTCTAAAAAGTAACATAGAATCAGAAGTTATATTGGCCTATGAGAGAAAATTCATGGGAGAGAGGAAGAGGGGTTTCTTCACTAGAGAGCATTTACTGAGCATTGGGGGAGGAATAAAAAATGAATTCTTGGACTGGGATCGTTACTAGAGAGCATTTATTGACCTTAAAAGGCCTTTAGATGCTACTGTTTCCAAATAAGAGTTAATCGAAGACCACTTTATAGGCACCAGAAGATATTTATGCTTACATATGGGGCTATTGTGAATGGAAGGTCTTCAAAAAAAAAACTCCAATCTAAAGAGAGCATTTTTAAGGACTCTTCTAAAAAGTAACATAGAATCAGAAGTTATATTGGCCTATGAGAGAAAATTCATGGGAGAGAGGAAGAGGGGTTTCTTCACTAGAGAGCATTTACTGAGCATTGGGGGAGGAATAAAAATAAATTCTTGGACTGGGATCATCACTAGTGAGCATTTATTGACCTTAAAAGGCCTTTAGATGCTACTGCTTCCAAATAAAAGTTAATCGAATACCACTTTATAGGCACCAGAAGATATTTATGCTTACATACGGAGCTATTTTGAATGGAAGGTCTTCAAAAAAAAACTCCAATCTAAAGAGAGCATTTTTAAGGGCTCTTCCAAAAATTAAAATTCAATCAGAAGATATTTTAGCCTACTGAGCCTTCAAAAAGTTTTCTTAAAATCCTAAAAAATTATATTCTGAATTAAATGGATCTTGTGGAATGTAGAAGGCTTCATTGGCAACATAACCTCAAAAAGGCTCTTAGATTAATACCCAAAGTGTCCAACAAGGAGATTTTTAAATTGAATCAGTAAAGAAAGTCTTAAAGTCGGGCGGGGCGACTTTATGATACCCTACACACCACTTTGCTAATTTAGTTGAGCTCCACATAACAATTAAAAGTTTTTATGGGAGAATTCAATCATACACGCCATGATTATAATTATAATTTAAAGTTCAAAGGACTAAATATGCCGAATCATTTGTATCTTTTCAATTCGGACTTGTATTGCCCATTTGGTGCACAATTAATTTGAAATCGGATAAAAATATATATGGGAGCTATGTCCAAATCGGAACCGATCTCGATAGAATTTAGCAAAGATATTTCTGAGCTGTATTTAAAATATTTCTCTGAATATCGTTGTTACGGAGTGCATATTACGGCTGTGGGTAGCACATATGACATATCGGATGAAGAGTATATATGGGAGCTATAGCTATATCTGAACCGATCTTCACCAAATTTGACATACTAGCTTCTAGACTCAATTCGGTCGTAAGTGCCAAATTTCATCCAATTTGGGCAAATATTAGACGTTTGGTGCACCTATAAAAGGTAAATCGGACGATGTTATATATGGGAGATATATATCCAAATCGGAACCGATCTCGATAAAATTTAGCAAATGTATTTCTGAGCTTCATTCGATCAATTTCCCCAAATATTGTTGTTACAGAGTGCATATTACGGCTGCGGAGGACAAAAATAACAAATCGGATGAACAATATATATGGGAGCTATAGCTATATCTGAACTGATTTCAATCAAATTTGGCATAATTCTTTTCAGGCCTAATTTGGTCGTAAGTGCCAAATTTCATCCAATTTGGGCAAATATTAGACGTTTGGTGCACAATCCAAGGTAAATCGGACGATGTTATATATGGGAGCTATATCTAAATTTTGACCGATTATCTCCAATTTCAATACGGTTCGTCCTTGGGCCAAACAAAAGATCTTTGCAAAATTTCATCTGGATCGGGCAATAAATACGACCTGTACTTTGTTTACAAAAATACATGGACAGACGGACGGACGGACATGCATAAATCGACTCAGAATGTGATTCTATGCAGATCATCAAAAGGAACTATGGGTCTATCTCGTTTCCTTTTGCCTGTTACAAACAAATGCACAAAGACATAATACCCTGACCACCTTGTGGTGTAGGGTATAACTATGGGTCTATTTCGTTTCCTTTTGCCTGTTACAAACAAATGCACAACGACATAATACCCTGACCACCTTGTGGTGTAGGGTATAACTATGGGTCTATTTCGTTTCCTTTTGCCTGTTACAAACAAATGCACAACGACATAATACCCTGACCACCTTGTGGTGTAGGGTATAAATACTATTTTCATTTTTTTTTTTTTTTTTTTGAAAAACATTTTATTAATTAAGTTTAATTATTTATTTTTTTTTAAACGTTAATTTAAGAAATGCACATTCTAATAATGGAGGTATTTAGTACTCTATAATATCTTTTAGTACAAGCCTTCAAAAATTCCCCTTTATTTGCTTACAAAATTTCGAAAATCCACCAAAAAGTTTCATTGCCTTATTACCCTACCCAAAAGTCTTCAATTTTATTAAACTCTAAATTGGCAACACTGATGCCATATGAAACTCGCCATGTCTCTCGTTCGCTCTCTATATCTCCCTCCCCCACCCAATTTCTCTTCATCAATAAATGGAGTCAGTTATTTGATTATTGTGATCCGTTTGTTTTGTTTTAGGCATTCTGTTATGCATGCTTGACTGGTTGGTGTGTGCGTGTGTTATTGTGAATTGAAGTTACTTCTCTCTCTCCCTTCACCTCTCTCAATCAACGGTGTGAGATTGGTTCAGTGGTGCGTTTTACTCTTTTAAGGTAAACAATAAACAGATGTTTTTTTAATGGTCAACTCTTGGGGTTTGAAGGTAAAATAATTTTTTTAATAGATTTTTGAATTCTTATTGGAATTTAAATGAAGAAAAGGAAGAAATTTTATTATTTATATAAGAAATTGAAACATTTTTAAATGATAAAAGGCCTTTATAGAAAAAATTACAAAATTTGTTGGAATCAAAGCCCTTGAAAAATAAAAGATTGAATAAAAAAGCACTGAAATTGATTAAATTATATATTTTCTTTTCAAAAAAAAAAAAAAAAATGTGTAACTTTGATATCACTAAATATTAAATTGCCATAATTGTTTTGTTTTTTCTATTTTCAATAAAATATTTCAGTAATTTCATTATTGATGTCGTAGACATTTAATTTTTTATTTGATTTTATTTTATTTTTTTATTTATTTATTTTTTTTTTTTTTTTTTGAAATTCTGATAAAATTTCAGACATTCTTTAGTTGTTGCTGTGTTCCTTTTTTTTTGTTATACCCTCCACCATCCATACATAGTATGGAGGGTATATTAAGTTCGTCATTCCGAAATAATCATTTTAGACCTAACAAAAAATATATATTCTTGATCAGCGTAAAATTCTAAGACGATTTAGCCCTGTACGGCCGTCCGTCTGTCCGCCTGTTGTAATCAGGCTGGAGTCAAAACGAATAAAGATAGGAAGCTAAATTTTTGCACAGATCAGTCTTTTGTCATGGCAGGCAGGTCAAGTTCATGGTGGGCTATATATGTCCACGATATCGTATATCCCCCATATAACGGTACCTCCCGATATTCGGTATTTTGATGATTGTAGCCAAAATTTTTCAATGAAATTGTCTGAAATGCTACACAAGGAGTTCTCTGTGAGTATTTTATCCCCACATAGAAAATTATTTATATAAGTCCACGATATCGTATAGCCCCCATATAACGGTACCCCTCGATATTCGGTATTTGGATGATTGTAGCCAAATTTTTCAATGAAATTGTCTGAAAATCCACAGAAGGAGTTCCTTCTAAGTAATTTACTCCCTGGAAGAGTATTGTCTATATAAGTCTACGACATCGTATAGCTCACATACAACGACCCCTACCCCGATATTTAATATTTTGACGATTTTAGGGACACTATTCACAGGAAATGTTTGAAATTTCCTATTTTAAGTTCGTAA